GAAATAGGAAGAAAAGGGGCAAAGGGGAAGGGGAAGCGGGAGGGGTAGGGGAAAGAAAGAAGGGAATGGAATTAATATGAGAAAATGAAAACAAAGTCTTTGTAAATAGGGAGGGATGGAGGGGTTGAAGGGAGGGCGGGGGGAGAGAGAAAAATAAGAACCGAGAGAGATTATGTAAAGGTGCAAATTTCCAATGATGAATGTCATTATATTGTATACCTGAAATGAACCAATAAAATAAAATTTTTAAAAAGTGGAATACAAGGTTTCCTTATCACTCAGGAATTCCATACCTAGGTACATACCCAAGTGAACTGAAAATGTGTGTTCATGTAAGACCCTGTACTCAAAGGTTCACAGCAGCATTATTCATCAATAACCCAAAAGTAGAAACAGCCCAGATGCTGTTTGAGGAATCAATTGAGGAATGGATAAATAAAATGTCTATCCATACAATGCAACATTATTCAGTCAACAAAGAATGAAGTACTTAAACATGTCACAACATGGATGAACCTTGGAAACATTATAATCAGTGAAACAAGATAGACAAAATATTGCTTCAAGATCCATAGATGATTTTAGGGGAAAGCCCTGAGACTTGTCCCAGATCTCCCTAACAGTGGCCCCTACTGTTACCTTGAGCCCACCCCTGCCCTCCTACCCAGATTTCTGGCAGATCTCCCTCTCTCCCTTCCCCCCAATCTCTCTCCCTTTCCTACAAAAACCATACCCCTACTTCTGGTCCAAGAGAGAGCAATTCTGCTCTTACCAACCTTGCTGGCCTTTGGAAATTCTTGGTCTGTCCTCCTGGTTTCCACTCTGTTTCCAAAGAACCAGCTTCTGACCCCAAATGCACCACTTCAACCAGGCTCTAGGACTTACCCTGTCATTTCTGCCCCAGTATCAGCAGAGAGAAGAAGAGAGAGAGCCAGTTTGTCTGTCATTGTTGGCCTCTGGATCTCCAGGACCAGGCTTGGTGACTCATAGCTGATCCTCATAGTATGTGTGTAAAATGAATGCAGGACTGGCAGGAGCTTGGGTCACTGCCCTTTCTCTGCCTCCTGCCATTAAACGTGACGAGCAGCCTCTGTCTTTTAGGGAAGGTGACCCATGACCATAGTCACATGTCTGACAAATATTTTTGAAAGGTAAATATTTGCTTTTTTTCTGATTATAAAACTAACATGTCTACATAGTATAGAGGAAGGTAAAGGAGAAAATCACCACTTATAATTCTTCTACATTTGCTATTTTTAGTATTTTTCTAACAATTTTTCTTATTCCTTAATTTTACACAGTGAGGGTTATTTTGCATTGTAATGTGGTATTTTTATATTGATACCATAGAGATTCCTTGTCACAACAAATTCTTAACATATTCTTTGACTATACAATAGTTCACTACAAAGCCAGACCCATGTGCCTTTCTTGAATCCTGATGCCCCTATGAATAGCCTCAACTGGTGAATGACACGGTGGAATTTGGGGGTGAGTAGATCAGGAGACATCGTTCTAAGCCCTGTGTTCTCATATTCCACATTCTGCAGTGGGCTGAGCCTAGGTTGCCTGTTTTGGTAGCTGGCTTATAGTGCATCCTTGATGGCTGCTTGCCCTTCCTTGAGTCATTTCCTCATTCCCTGCTGTTGTCCCTTGCATCTCCCAGATACACCACTCATACCTGAACCCTCCCCATGAGCCATCACTCAGCAGGACTAGCCCAGGTGCCACCCTAGCTATTATTCCTCGATTCTGAAGGGCAGGCACCTAGGAAGCCACACAGGAGGGCAGGAGAGGGAGTATGTTTTGGGGAGAGTCAACAAGAATTGGGCCCTTAAAGAAAACTCCTGACTGGAACCCCACTGCTAGCTGCAGTCAGGCCAGGTCTTCCTGCACTGTTCCGGCCTACACCAGCCCGCATGAGTCATGTTCCAAGGACTCAGCAAGCAAGGCCAGACAGTCTCCTGGTCCCTCATGGTCTATGCACCTGGGGGCAACTACTTGGGGATTTCCAGCAAAAATCCCTTGGCTTTGGTAATCCTAAATCATTCAAAGTAGTACAAAATGGAAACTTCGGATCCCAGCTGCCAGAACTTGTGACTCATGCCCTCCAGTGGTCAACCAACAAATGATGTGGGCTGCAGGGCTAGGGACCTGCTGGAGACCTAAGTAAATTAGGAATCAGAGCTGGGAGGCTCCTTAGAAGCCTCTTCCCACTGCCCACCTTTGACAGTTTAGTGGAGTGAAGCTGAGGTGGACCTGTGACTCGCCATGGGTCACTCGCACAAGTGCAGACACATAAGTCTTCTAATATGCTTTCCTTTGTGTCCTAGCTTCATAATTTTTGTCACACATGTATATATTTGCTCAAATATTTTTCCTTAAATTGACTCTTTTTAACTTATAAGGATATTTCTAGGCCAGGCATGGTGGTGCACACCTGTAATCCCAGCACTTGAGAAGCTGAGGCAGGAGGATCACTGTGAGTTTGAGGCCAGCCTGGGCTACACAGTGAGTTCAAGGCCAGCCTGAATTACATAGTGAGACCTTGTCTCAAAAAAAAAAAAAGATATTTCTAAAATAATCATTTTTCATTTTCTGTAAGTGGAAAACCAGTCAATTGCCACAGTAATCACATCAACAAATAATCCAACTATTAAAATAAAAAATCTCATGTGCCACCTGGCGTCCTCTTGTTCGCCTTAGTTTGACCATTCTTTGAGAAATCAGTCATTAGACTGAAAAGAGGCCCAAGTTCATGTTGGTATGGACCTTGCATTGAACACCTTTGGGAAAAACATCTACTGAGCACCTACTGTATGCAAGTGATGAGGTAACAGGACATTTCTGGGGGAGAATATTGAAGCAGCCATATCTCTATCCAAAAGGGTGGTGGTATCAGGGGCCACCACTGAGGTGCATGTGATGAGACTTGGGAATGAGTCACTCTTTTTTGGTACCCGGGATCGAACTCAGGACCTTGTGGTTGCAAGGCAGGCAGTGGAACCACTGAGCTAAATCCCCAGGCCCAGAATGAGTCACTCTCGGGCCTCAGTTTTCCCATCTGCCGAGAAGGGAACTAGTTTGTATTGAGTGCCTGGCACTTGGCAGACATGATTTCCTCTTCTCCTCGGAAAGATCTATAAGGAGATCTTACTGGTTCTATTTGGGATCTGTCTGGCCTGGGGTTACAGAACGGTTCCCCCTGGCCTCTCAGCCTGTCTGCACAGGGCGATGATGAAGAGCTCGATTGTTGGAGACCTTTCAGAAACATCATCCTCCAGCAACCTACCCTGACAGTCACCTGTGGCCTCTGGGTCCCACACTTAGCCCAAGCTGCTCTGAAATCTTCCTCTCCAGCCCGATGGCATGGGGCATGATCTCCCTGTAAACCCCCAGCCCCATGACCTTGATGCTTCTTTGATTCCCCTTTGGGGCACCTGTGCTAAGGATGATGAGCTGGAGTTTCCTGGATGGGGGTGAGAAATTCCTTGAGGCTGAGAGATAAGGAATCTCCACTTGAAAGGACAAATATTAGTCATCCTACTCTTTGGCAGCACTGATGATCATTGAGGCTTTTCCCTTGGCGCAAGAGATCCTTTTCTGTTCCTCTATCCTGTCCTAGTCCTTCTATCCTTTATGCGCCCCTGTCACCTGAAAGCTTTTAGCCTCCTGAGCACTTCAGTCCCTGAAGGCCACACGTCCCCTGCATCTGAGCAGCACAGCCAGCATGGTCCTCAGGGAAGAACTGAGGACGGTGTCTTGGGTTTTGAGCCAAGAGGTTTGGATCTGCAGGGGCCAGTGGACCCCTCTCTGAGCCTCAGTGCCCCTCCTACAAAACAGAGACAATGACATTTACCTTACAAGTTCTTGTGAGCTTGGGTAATATTCCATGCACATAGTAAGTGCACAAATCTATTGTGCTCCATGGAAATATCAGAATGAGCTTGACAGGCACCATCTTCCTGTCTTTGTGGGGCCTCGGGCAGAATGAAGGGTGGCTTTCCTTCCCATTATCACTGGGTACATTTTGGGAGTGAGGAGAAGGACTGCATCTTTGAGATGGCTTCTTTACCCTCATTAGGCTGAATCCTGCCTAACAGGTGCCCCTATATGGCATGGAACAAATCTGGCCTTTGGAGGCTGGCAATTCTGAGTTCAAATTCCAGCTCAGGCAAGTCTCTTGCCTGGATGACTCAGGCAAGCCCCACCGCTTCTCTGGGCTGCATATTCTTCCTCTAAAAATTAAAGATAAGAGTAGTTCCACTAGAGAGCTGATGAGAAGATCCTGTGGTTGTGTTGATGAGGCAGGAACATGGGAAGGGACTCTGCCTGCCTGTACCTCTCCTCTAGCTGGCACCAAGTATTGGCACCAAGAAGAGAACAGGTGAGCCCCAGATGAACTTCAGCTCTTATCTTGACCTCAGTTTCCCACTCCTCCTTCCCCTGGGGTGTACGTACATGCAGTAAAATGGGTGCACAAAGCAGGGGTCACCTGGAGTTCGTTAGGGACCCTAGATCTCACACGCGGGTCAAACCTCACTTTGCCACCTATGAGCTGAGAGACGTCAGGCTGGCTTCTCAACCTTTCTGAATCTGTTTCCTTATTGGTGAAATCAGGGTAATAACAGGATTTACTGCATCCCATGACTGGAGGATGGACTAGAAGATGAATGGAAACCCCCAGCCCCACCTATGTTTGTTGAGCAAGTGCTCAGTACATGGCAGTTATAATTATTCTTACCTCTGAGAATTATTACTACAGGAGGGTGGGAGGAGAAAAGATACCAAGAAAGGCAGTGGGGTATGGTACAGGAACACGGGCCCAGGAGCCAGGCTTCCTTGGAGTTCTGTCCCAGCTCTATCCCTCCAAGGAGTCTGGGGAGTTGGGAGAGATGGGGAGAACTCCAGCCTGTGAGCTGGTGCTTCAGCATTTCAGCCCTGCCTGAGTGTGTGATCTTAGACAAATCATTTCACTTTGCTGAGCCTCAATTTCCTCATCTACAAAATGGGGTTAGTAATAATGCCACCCTAAAGGACTCTTACATGGATTAAACAATAAAGGCAGTTAAATGCCTTGCTCCATAAGCCTTACCTCTGATTGCTGTTTTTGCAAAAAAAAAAAAAAGGGGATTTTTCAGAAAGTGGCTAAGCTTGAAGGGCCAGCTGGAGCTCAACCTTCTTCACAGCTGGGTTAGGGACAGGTGGACTTTATTGGAAGGAGAGTTTGGCCAGGGTGATGAGGCTGAGATTCCAGGGCTGGGTGCTATGGGCATAGTGCCTGAGAGACCCAGGTCGTGGAGGAAAGAGGGCATTTCTCTACAGCAGCATTGGCACTTCCACCACACCTGTCCTCACCTGCCCTTCAAGGTGCCATTTGATTCCTCCCCTGCAGAATTCACCTGCCACATCTGTTATCACAAGGGGCCGAGGAATGTTGCCTGTTAGGTGAGCAGAGCCAAAGAGATGATGCTCAAGCAGGCCCAGGAAGCTGAAGGAAACTGCAAGAGGGAAACTCATGACAACCTCCAGCACTGGAGCCAGCTGCAGGTCCCGAAGGCAGGAGCTCCAGTGTGGGCATCAGAAGCCCAGTGTTGGTCCCAGCTTACAAACTGTCTGCTGTGTGACCATGGTGAGTTGCCTAACCTTTCGGTGGCACCTAAGTCCTGTATTGCTTTTTTTTTTTGGCTTCTTCTTCCTATTGGACACTGAAAAGAATATTGGAATAGTGGGGATGGTTACACAACATTTTGAATACAATCGGCCCTCTATCTCCATAGGTTCTGCACTCATGGATTCAACCAAGCATAGATCAAAAATATTTTTAAAAAATTGTGTCTGTACTGAACATGTGCAGACTTTCCCCTTGTCATCACTCTGTAAGCAACAAGGTATGAGAATAATTTACATAGTACTCACATTGCATTAGATACTATAAGTAATCAAGAGATGATTTAAATGAAAGGTGTGCATAGGTTATCTGCAGATCTATATATTTTACATAAGGAACATGAGTATTCTCAGATTTTGGTGTCTGCAGGGTCCCAGAACCCATATTCCATGAATACTGAAGATGACTATATGCCCAAAGTCATTGAACTGTAAAATAGTTCCATAGTGAATTTTATTATGTGAATTTTGTTTTAATAAAAAAATTAACTCAGTGTTACAAAGAGGGAGAACAAGAATTGAGAATCTAAAAGAAGGGGTGGTGGTGGATTGTTGATCCCTCTAAGGAAGGCTACTTTGCTACTTTGGAAGGCAGGATATGTCCTTCACATGCTCTTTGTCAAAGGTAAATGGTATCCAGGGGGTGGTGGCTCATGCCTGTAATCCCAGCACTCTGGGAGGCTGAGGGATTGCAAGTTCAAGCCCAGCCTGGGCAATTTAGTGACTTAGTAAGATCCTGTCTCAAAAATTTAAAAAGTAAAACAAAAGAGCTAGGGTTGTAGCTCAGGGCAAAGACTGTGAGTTCAATCTCTAATATCCCCACTCCTGCCACACACACACACACACACACACACACACACACACACACACACAAAGTAGCTATTTACCCTCTGACCCATAGCAGAGATCTCAAATTCTTGTTGGGCTGCCTTTTTGCTCCACAGCTCAGAGCACTTTCTTGTATTTCATATATTCACTTTTAGCATTGGCATTCTTCATCCTGTAAAAATTCAAGCTCAGAGAGGAGAGCTGGCTTTCCTGAGGTCAGTAGTGACTAGTAGCTGACACTAGTACCTGACACTAGAAGCCAGGGGCTTGCAGTCTAATTCCAGCCAAGTGCTCAAAACCTGGTGTCCAGGGAGGCAGTCATTGTTACTCAAACCCTGTCACAGCCAGTGGAAGCTGTGTTGGAGTTTTGTGGAGGTGACCTGGTATCCCGGAAGCCCAGGTTGGTAGCATAAACAGAACACAAAGAGGAGAAATGAGAAGCACAAATACCTTACTCTATGCCAGCACTCCAGAGGCTCTCTGGTTGGCACCACTCACCATTCATTCATTCATTCATTCATTCAGCTAATGCCACAGACTTTTCAGAGACCCTGGGAGCCTTGGCTTCCACACCTGTCCAACAGGAGAAGAACTAAAGGAGGCAGTGGACACACATGCCTCTGGGCAGGTCCATGCACCGCACACTCAGGTAGTGGGTGCTGGGCAAGGGGAGGCTCCTTACTGAGGTGAGCTGCCAGCAAGACTGTGAACCACAGGGACTCTTCCCAGGGGCCATCTTTGGAGAAGTCCTCTTCACCTGGGAGCACAGCATCCAGGAGGGCCATCCAGGGCACCGGCCTCAAGCCAAAGCAATTCACACACATTGCAGGGCTTTGCTGCCCATGCACCCAAAGCCCTTCTGTCAAATGTTTGACAAATTCAGTAATGGAATAACTGTACATTCTGAAGAAAATTCCATCAGGTGTGTGTCATGCTAAGTAAATGGGATTTTAGAAGATTCCACAAATGGCAAGCAATATAAATACTGAGCTGATTGCATGTACATGTTGCAGGTGTAGCCAGATTATGTGGGTGCAAAACCAAGGATTAAGGGTTATAGTTGGCAAACTCCTAATCATCCCTCCAAATCTTCCTCTGTTATCCTTTCCCCTGGGCACTTTCCCTGAGCAATGCAGATCCAGGTATCTCAGTGCCCTGCCACCCCTCCATCACTGCAGGAATACCTCTGTACTATGGTCCTCCATTTCCTTTTTAGGTTTAGCACTCTCCAAGGCGGGGATGCTGAGTCTCCTCTCAATGTTGTCCACCCAGACTCCCTGGCTGAAGCCTGAGAGAAAGGGGGTTTTCATATGTTGAAGCTCATTCCTGCCTGCTCCTATTTCTCATTCATTCACTCAGTAAAGATCTCTGAGTTCCAAAAATGTCTTTTTTGACTTACAGTTTGCCTGTTTTAGAGAAATTCAATACATCCTAATGATAAATTTCATTTGGGAAACACAGGGAAGAAATGAGTGAATGGTGCAGGGAGGGATTAGGATGGTGAGATGCAGGGTGATTTTTCCTTGCTGTTTCTCAACTCTTCCGTAATGTAGTTGCTATTTTTCCATACCATATAGGAATGCTATATTTGAATCAGTATAAGAAATGGAATGATAAGAACTTATAATTTTCCCTATAAGAAGTTATGTAATTCCCATCATGAAGAAAAGGATCTCTCCACTGTGGAACCTAATTCCACCTGCTAAGTGCCCGAGCTCACTGACTGCTAATAGGAATACATTAATGAAGGCAACACCTGAGAGGCCGCTCAAGGTCAAAGGCCTTCTCCATCCTTCCCTTCCTTTCCAAAAACCTCAAGCTCAATGTTTCTGGGCCTGTTTGGAATATTGGCAGGATCTGGCAGCACTGGCTTTCTGGAACCTGTGACTTTTCCAGTGCATGTGGTCAATATCCCCGTTTCCTGGACTCTTGCTGCAAACTGGAAGCAAAAGGATGGACAGAAATTAACCAGAGAGTTTCCTGCCCAGGAAAAAATCCCCAGGATGCTGAAAGCAAGGCACTGTGGCTTGGCCACATAAGGGCAAGGTCTTTGACCTTGGGGGCACCTTGCTGATTAACTGTCACCACCTTAGACCTGGAACCAGGAAGAGGTGGATTCACTGTAGATGCACACATGGAGTGATGTAATAGAACTCACAGGCCAGGAGTCCCTGTCATAAATTGGCTAGCTGTATACACCGACAGGGACACTCCCTTTGGAAATAAATAAGAACACTTTATGCAAAAACTGTTCTCTGGATGGCACAGAATGAGTATAAATACTTCTGGGCTGCTGGTGTAATCATTAATTTTGCAGTGAGTTGAAGACTGAGGCTCTGCCTACAGACCTCCAGCACATCAATGGTTTGAAATTTCTCAGCTGCATTAGTGAGAAGAACGGGTAGTCACAGGTGGTCCTGAAGTTCTCAAGGCCAACGCAGCCCCTCTTCCCCCAGTTTGCTCATCCTTGCTCTGCAGGGCTGCACAGCCAGCTGTGAGGTGAGTTGTCTTTGTCTCTGGGGAACCTGCTGTTCTGATAGGGTTTTGCTTCTGTCTGATCGGGAAAGCTTAGAAAACTGGGAAATCTGGCCGAGGATTTAGCTCAGTGGTTTCGCTGCCTGCTGCGCAAGCGCAAGGGCCCAAGTTCGATCCCCAGTACCAAAAAAAAGGAAAACTGGGAAATCTCTGCCTATGTCTGAGATGTAGCTTCGTGGTGGGGATTTGCCTAGCGTGCCTGAGGCCCTGTGTTCCATCCCCAGAACCACAAAACAAAACACCCCAAAGCTCTATAAATTTGGACTATTAGGGAGGGCATCCCATTCAGAATTCTTTTCTGCAAATATTTGCTGTGCTCAATATATTATAAGGAAAAGGTTTCTGGGGGAATCCAGAATGGGAAGGGTTATGTAACTCTTTTTCCCAAAAGTCTAGTAAGATGGATAGTATTAATCCCATTTTATGAACAAGAAACAAGTTGCAGTTACTGAACCTGAGCCAGGTCAAGTAACGAATAGAGCCAAGGTTGGAGCCATGCGGGACTTTAGGTTCCAACGTGGATGTGTACCAAGCTGGCCACAGAGGAAGGCTTTTCCCAATGAGGAGGTTTGCGATGGGGAAGTCCAGACAAAACCCAAGTCTTGGGTCTCTGTTTTTTATCTTTTTCAAAGGAGATAATCTCAAATACTGAGAGTTAAATGCATTTTTCACAAAAAATATTACTTTCTCTTTGACTAGTAAAAAAGGGGGCAGGTTGCCTTAGGAGGAGCAATGATTGCAGGGTCAGGCCTGCATGTCCATGTTTGATGAGTTACAGTGAGCTCCCAGATCCTGCCCGCCTTGCCTTGGGCCAGGGATGAGCCTCCTTTAGGTCAGGTGAGCTACCAGGTGACTAAGGAGGCTCCTGTTCAAGAGGTTTGTTCTTGGTTATTGGTGAAACTGTTATTGGTGACAGGTTCTATGTTGTTCCTTTAGATTATGTGGCTTTGTAGAATTGAAGTCTACATTTATAAAGGCTCAGACCCGACCCCCAAATAGGAATGAGGAAACAAAGTGCTGATGAAGTGGGGCTGTAAGACTTAGCTCTCTCTTGATCTTTAGTGAACGGGGAAGGTCCAGTTTGGGAAATTCGTCTTCAGCCTTGCCTCACAGTTTCCTTCACCCTCTGCAGCCCCACAGCCACCAACATCTGAGTTTTAATCCAGATAAGTGATCCACTTTGCAAAGCCACAGAGATGGCCTGTCCCTGGAATTTCCTGCGGAAGGCCAAATCCCACCAGTACAACTTCACAGAGGGAAAGGACATCAATAACAACACAGCGAAAGCCATTCATATCATCCACAGGTAAGCACTGTCTGCCACTACCTCTACTTTGTCTCCTCTCGGCTTCCATCCCCTCTGTGACCACACCCCAGAAGTCTTCTCTCTGCTCTTGTCCTTCCTGAGGGCTGGCCTTGAAGCTCCTTCTTGGAGGTCCCTGTTGACTGGACACCACACTATGCCTGACACTATAAAATCAAGAAGGGACTTGGCACAGAGCTACCCTGAGGGGATGTGGAATCCTGGGAAGAAGAATGCTGGAGAATGGGAGGCAGAGGAACCTGGAGGTTAGAACTGGCAGCATCCTGGCATCTGTGCCAATTTGCCTGGGAATGTGATGCAACAATTGTTAGATATTTTGACCACCAGCCTGTGGAAAGGTATCAGGACGTTAGACAAACTATATTCAAGCACTGTGCTGTGCCACAGGAGCTGGCCACGTGCCATCTCTCTAAGGGTTTGCGACCTTGGGCAAGTGAACCTCTCTGAACCTCAAACATGCCCATTGGCAGCATGTGGTCCCACCTTGAAGGATGTTAGGGCTGGCATGAGAGGCTCATGGAAAGCAGATGAAGTGTATCTGCACACAGCAGGTGCTGGATGAGCAGGGGGTTTGCTGCTGTTTTCCAAAGCTTGCACACTCTGTATTTCAGCCAACCTGTGCCACTGCTAGGTCAAGTGTGCATTGTCTCATCCAAGAGCTGGGGCAACAGGAGCTCTGCGGGGGTAATGACTCAGTCACCTTCCTGGTAATTGATGGAATTGATATTTGAACCCAAAGTCTGTATAAATCTTTCATGTCCCGTCCTTAGCCTTAGAAGCAAGCTTGATGTACCACGGAACTGAGAGGATTAGTCTACCACCTAGTCAGTGCACAGGCTTCTGAGGATGCTAGCGGAGACCATGCTTTGGCCTGGGCGTGGAGGCTTGCTCAGTTGGGAGGACAAGTTAGTCTGCAACAAGAAACAGAATTAAACAAAAGCCCCACTCTGCCCAGGGCTTCCACGCAGCCGCACAGTTCCAGAGCAGCCTTTCCCAGGGACTATGGTGGGCAGGGCGCCCCCTAGAGGCGCATAGCACGACAATCCTGAGTGTACCAGTCCTGGTGCCGCAGAAAAGCAGCCCAGTTAAGAGCCATAAACTTGGAGAGAAGCAAATGGTTTTGCCCCTTTATAGCCCTGTGGCCTTTGGCAAGTCCCCTAGCCTCTGATTCTCAGAGGGAGGGCGTAGTAATGCTATTTCCTGGAGTTGTGGAAAGGATGTGAGGAGGTTCAACAGGTAAACTACCTAGCGCAGTGCCTGGCATAGAACAAGGGTTCCAGAAATGCATTGGCTGTGGTTGTCATCATTGTGCTGGCTGTTGGCAGCTGGAATGGGGCTGAGTGACATTAAGCAGAGTCTCCCTAAGGGCTTCACAGAAGAAGCTGGGCTCCGAGGACTTGGAAAAGTGCATTGAATGTGGAGGGATATAGCTGAGACCTTCCAGGAAGAGGGGCCAGGAGCGAAGAGGCAGAAGTGAACCTGACTGTAGTCAGGCTCTAGCTCCAGGGCCTGAGTGCAGGGTGAGGGATTTGGACTTTCGCATTGTGGATTCTTGAGCAAGATAGTCTAGGTGCCGTGTGTGGGGGGTGAATTGGAGGCCAGAACACTTGAAACCCAGCAGTTAAGTCTGTAGTGATCAAGAGACAAAGAGATGAGAACAGAGTTGAGTGGCCTCTATGTCCTGCTGGCCCTTCAGTCTCAAAATGCTGCAGACTGATAGTGGCTTCACCCCTTCCTTCTCTTCCCTGTGACCTCTGCCTCCTGGCTGCCCTACTCCCAGTCCCCCCGTCCCCCCCGCCCACCAAATGACTTCTAGCAAGCAATGCAATGCTTTTGTTCTAGAGTCTGCAGTAGCTCCCCATGGCCTGTCACCACGTTGAGGCCTGAGGGTGAGGGTTCTGCATGACCACCCTGCCCAGAAAGAGGGCTCATCCCACCTGCCCAGCCCAGTCTTCCTCAGCCTCCCAGCTCCTATGCACTGCACATTCCTTCCTCCACTTATTTAGGTCCCATCCATCCCCTCTCTTTACGCCCAGCCTGACTCATTATCCTTCCAGAAACCTCCTTGTGTCCTACAGGCTTTAGCCCTTCACTCCCCTCTTCTACTAGCATTGCCCATATTCCTGAGGACTGACTGTGTCTGTAGACAGCCCTGGAGACACGAGCTCAGAGCCCGAGGAGAATCCTTGGGTGGGGCTGTGAAGTCAGGCCCACCGGCTTCCTTGACCATCTATTTTATTTATTTTTTGGTACCAGGGATCTCACTTGGGTCCTTGCGCTTGCAAGGCAGGCAGCGGAACCACTGAGCTAAATTCCCAGCCCCATCTATTTTTTTTTCCTCCTCTTTTCGCTGTGAGGGGCTCAAATCAGACATGAGAGTGGATGGAGAGAAAATAGAGCACATTAATTTACTTGACCCTCCTGGTAACCCACAAGGAAGGAATTTTGGATATACCCTATTTAAGAGTTGAGGATACAGAAGCCCAGACTGTCAAAGAAATATTTAAGATCTCCTAGCAAAGAACAGAGCTAGGATTCAACCTTGCAATCTCAGAAACACTACTCAGGGTTGCCACCTTTTGGATGGCATTGACAATTATATGCCTATGCGTACTCACTTGGTGCTGTGCTGAGAGTTAAAATGTCAACAAAGAACTGGGTGTGGCAGCACACTCCTGTAATCCCAGAGCTCTGGGAGGATAAGGCAGGAGGAGTGAAAGTTTGGCATCAGCCTGGATTATTTAGCGATTTAGTAAGACCCTGTCTCAAAAATAAATAAATAAATAGAGGACTGTAGGTCAGTGTAAAGGCCCTGGTTCAATGCCCAGTACCACCAAAAAAGAAAAAAAAAGGCAACAAAGCTTTTCTGCTTACCAATAAGTTGTCTGAGCTATTTATTAATTGCATGTGTTACTGCTAAAACTAATAGGACAATTACAGTGTCCTTAGCACCATGTCAATAGAAGGCAGGAACCACAATTATCCCTGGTTTTACAAGGTTGAATGATCTATTTAAGGCCAAGATCTAGGAAGTGCTGGGGCTGAGATTTGAACCGAGTTTAAACTCTACACTCTGTGGGCTCTCCCTGAGGATGCATTGGGCTGTAAAAGAGACAGTGAAAAGGGCAATAGCTCTCTGGAGGGGGTGGCACAACTGGACTGCAGCCACCGAGCCAGGGGGCAGGGAGGATGTTGCCGGAAGAGGAAGCAGGCCACAAAGGGGATTTTAGTCTGCAAGCAAAGGGAGCCAATTAATGTATTTTTGTTTTAAAAATAATTTTAAAATCTACTCAGGTGTAATAAGACCAAGAACCTATTCTCTGTGGCTGATGAGTCTATGACTTGTGTGAACACTTGAAATGGAAGTGAGCACGAGGTGTGTGTGCGTGCGTGTGTATGTCTAAAGACCGAGGCAAATGGGGGAACATCCAGGCGAAGAATACAGAATTCAGAACAAAATTGAGCCGAGATGAGTGAGCTGAGCGCTGCTCTCTGGGTAGGGTTGCAGCTGGCTCAGAGTCAATACACTCACTCCTTCCTCCGTGATTTGGGCTTGGGACTGAATATGCTGAAATATGTTGGGGGGAGGGGTCCCTGAAGGCTGCAGCCCCATTCCCACCTGCATCCTCTCAGCCTGGCCAGATCGGGAACAAAGTTCCCAAGCTTTTACGCCTCCTAGGTGGAGAGGTCCCAAGGACATCTGGTCGGACACCCCTGCCCTCTATTTCCTACTAGCAGTCAGGCCAGTCCTTCACTTTCTGTAGAAAAGAACCTGTCCTGGGGGTAACCCTTAGAAGATGGAGACAGTTTGAGCTGGGGTTGGCCCCAAGGCTACTGTGTGGCCTTGGGAAAAGTCCTTAACCTCTCTGAGTCCCCTTCACTTCCTCCCCAATAGAGATATCAACAGGGACTGGCCTCTAGACTGGATTTTGTGAGGACTGGAGGAGATGACAGACAGGAAAGACTTCCCGTGCAGATTGTAAAGTACCGTGCAATGAGAGTTTTTGTGATGATTCTTGTTATTGCATGAGAGAGTAAATAAAGCAGACCAAACATCCGGCCCCCAGCCTTGTTTTAGCCTAGGGGCAGTCCAGGATCATCCAGTCTGCTGTTCTGGATCGCTGAGGTGAGTTCCCTTTGGAGACCCCTCAGAGCCAGGAGGCCATCTCGGCCTTTCCGTTTGCCCCGCCCGGGGGCGGGGGCTCGGGCCCAGAAGCGATAAAGCTGCAGCCCCGACGGGCCAGGAGCTTGTGGCTTCTCGCCGCAGCCGAGTCATGCGTGAGGGGCTGAGCGCGGCGTGTGAGGCCGCGCGGCCGCGGCTCTACAGGTTCCTGCGCAGGATCCTCCCACCAAAGCCCACGCGATGCCTCCGAGCTAGGTACGGGGAGGGCAGGGCCGTGGGGAGAGGGGAGAGAGGCGGGCGGCTGAGCAAAGCGGGAGGGCTGGAATATGTGCATTGTACGGATCCCATGGGTGAGTGCTTGCTTGCTCGAAGTGCTCGCTTCGTTTAGAACAAAGACAGAGTTCGCAACTCTGGACCCCTGAAAGGCCCAGAGAAATCCCACCTGCAACCGGAGAGGCGTCTAAGCGGGCTAAATTGTAGATATTTCAGCACATGGGAGCTTTTCTGATATTCCAGCCCTGGGACTGCTGCTCTCTTTAGATTTCAGATATGGTTAAGAGAGCAAAGAGGTTCTTTAAAAAACAAAACAAAACACATAAAACCTATTTCCAAGAGTGCCATCCTCTGCCCATATCCTTGGTATAAGGAGAGTTAGGCTGGTTCAGAGGAGGGGGACCCACACTCGCAGCAGGACCCCAGGGTGCTCCCACAGCCACAGAGGTGGCTGGCCCTCAGCAGCCTGTCTAGGACCTGCGGATCCTTCTAGGCTCTAAGCAGGCCTCCACACCCCTGGCCCAGCCTTTGATGGCGGGTCCTAGAGGTCTCCCGGCCTCACTAAGGGCCAAGCAGGACCAGCTGAGGGTTCAGTCGAATGGCTTGGATGTCTGTGAGCGTGAGATCAGCCACGCAGTAATTTAGAAGGAAGAATCCAAAGCCTTAAAGTGCTCACCTGGCATTTGGTCATGGGATCCCCCAGCAGCCAGCCCAAGAAAATCTATTAACCAGGGTGGACAGTGGGCCCAGCAAAGCTTTGTTTACACTTTTCCCATATTTTAAAAGAATCCTAATTATGAAAGAAATTCACAACCACTGTAAAAAGTTGGAAGGTGCAGAAAAGTATAAAGAAAAATGAAAGTCGATCCCATTGCTTAATGATGATCACTGTGAACATTTATTGGCACGTTTCCCTGGGTGCTTGTATGCGCGCGCGCGCGCGCACACACACACACACACACACAAGCACACACACACGCAAGCACACACGACCAGCACCAGGTCATAATGTGGTTTGAGGGATTATTATTTTTTTTTTGGTATCTGGAATTGAACTCGGGTCCTTGCGCTTGCAGGGGAGGCCGCGGAACCACTGAGGTAAATCCCTGGCCCTGAAGCATTATTTATAAGGGCGGAGAACTAGACACATGCCAAACCTCCAGCCACAGGCATGTGTCAGGGTAACCAGTGCCCTCGTACACAGGGGATTTTCAGACAGCCCTTGAAAATGATGCTTTCTGATATTTGGGGTAAACGGTGATATTAATTGTGCAAGGATGCTGTTTATCAATTTAAATATTACTGTAGGCCAGGTGGCATTTCTGATCTGAAGTTTCTGGAGGCCTCAGGACCCGAAACGTCTTTTCATTGAGATTCTCATGATGACTGTTCAGCTATGGCTTATCTGTTCCAAATTCCATATAAGTCTATATTGGCTTTATTTGTCCTTTTTTCTGGTGAGGCAAACCAGTCCAGATGGGAGGAATGTGTTAAAGAAAAAAGTATGATACGTGTTAATGATCCGTGTTAGAACTTGTCCAGGAAGACTTTATTCAGGATCATATGCTGGACATGGGGACTGCTGCTGCTAGGTCTTGCAGTGGGACGGAGAGTGGGTTCAACTCGGAGCATAGCAGGGGCAAATAGAAGCACATAGCCAGGGAGCAGGGTTGGGGGCAGTGGCGGAAAACTTTCTAAGACAAAACATCAGGGATACAGGGGTTTCTGGCTAAACTGACCTAACAGGATTCTTGCTGAAGATAGACCAGGGTGATCAAACATTACTGAGGAATGGTGGAGGATGAGGAACCCGATTAGCTATCAGAGGTGATGAGATCTCATGTGTATGGGGGGTTATTGATAAACTGACTTAACAAGATTCTTTGCTCGAAATGTATTTTCCATTTACGTGCACAGATGGGCTTACGATAAGATCCAGAAGTCTGACCAAAGTTTGGCCAAGCAAAGAACCTTTGTCAGAAGACAATAGACAATCACCCAGAGGACTCTTCATGGGGCTTCTGTGTTACTTGACTGTGATATAAATTGCTTTGTGATACGTGCAGTAGCTCCCCTTTTCTGGAGGGCAGACATTCCAAGACTGCAGTGGATGCCTGAACCTGCAGTAGTACTAAACCCTTTATGTACTATATTTTATTCCTGTACATATTTAACAGCTATAATGTTTAATTTATAAATTAGGCAAAGTGAGATACCTAGTAATAAAATAGAACCACTATACCAATACACTGTAATAAACATTTTGTGAATGTGAACCATCCATTGACCCATGGTGATATTGGTGATTGGATGACCTTAATCAACTTCAACTCTGCAGATGCAACCCCTCCAATAATTTTTCAGTGAAGATATATATATA